GTGAAATCGGCGGTTCTAAGCCACCAGCCGCCCCTGGAGAGAAAGATGAGGCGTTCTACCCTCATGAAGAGTTACAGTCTCAAAAAAAAAAAAGTTGAGAGTACCAAAATCCCAGGGGGGTGATTCTACGCTGCCCCCTAGGGTCACTCTGAGTCAACATGGCTGAGTTTGAGGGGCTTTATTCTTGGGGGGCAGCAGGAACAGCCTGTGCCAAGGCCCTGAGATAGGGCCTACCTTGGTGTGTCCAGCAGCAGCCAGAAGGCCCGTGTGGCTGGGGCAGAGTGAGCCATGGGGAGTAGGCTGCAGGTGAGGGCAGGGTTGGTGAGGGGCAGATATTGGGTGGGGGCCTGTTGGACCCCTTCTAAGGGTTTGAGCTTCACGTCGGGAGAGACATGAGTGGCTGGTCTCAAGCAGGTGGATGAGATGATGTGGCAAGTGCAGCTAGAAGAGAAGGGGGCGGGGGCAGATGCGTAAGCCCACATTCAAACTCACAGGCGCCTCGGAAGAGAAGCCTGCTCATCGGCTCCTTGAAAATCATGGGGGCACGAAGTTCTACTCTGCACCACACGAGGTCGCTGTGCTTTATGGTGGACTCTGGTAGCTGGTGTTGCTAGCAGGTCCAGGGAGGAAGGTGTAAACTGTGGAATTCAGGTTGTCCATGAAGTGGGAACTTCAAGGAATTGGGAGAACAGTTGTGGTATGGGGGAGGGCAAAGCCTTACCGAGTGTGGAGGTCAGACAAACCCAGGGTGGGGTGGGGGGTGGCATTGGATGTGCATGAGCTGAGAGCTGAGTGAGCAGTCACTCTATAGAGGCTTGTTTGAGGGAGAAGGCCCTCCCGGCGGGTGCATACAGATACAGAGCCCCTGCCACAGGGGAGACTGATGGGAAAGAAAAGGCAGGTCAGGGAGCCACCGAGAAGCAGCCAAAGTAGCTTGAGGTCAGCCCAGAGCCTCTGCTCCTAGCCATGTGGGTGTGAACAGGGCTGCTGGTACTGGTATAATCCAGTCCATGGGAATTGCACATGGGGACAGCACCCGGAGGGGACACAGAAGGTTCAGAGAGGAGGCTTGAGGCCTGCTGTTGCTGTCCCCCAACGCCTGCCCACTCCCCACAGGCCCTCTGCACCAAGGTGCCCGAGCTGATCAGGACCATCATGGGCTGGACGCTGGACTTCCTGCGGGAGCGACTGCTGGGCTGGATCCAGGACCAGGGTGGTTGGGTGAGGCCTCCAAACCTCTTCCCCTCTGTCCCCGCCTCCTTTGACCCCTACCTGCCCCTCCCCATCTTCTAGCACCCGCCACGGGGGCCGCTCCATTCCCATTCCTCACAGTGCCACCTGACTCTTGACTCTGACCCATGACCTCCTGGTGACCTGTGAACCCCCCTCCCCACCAAGCCTCCTGACCTCTAGAATGCCCCAAGCTCATAGAACCCTCGAACCCCCAGCCCCGTAGCTCCCATTCATGTCAGGGCTGGAGCCCGGGTGTTCAGTGGTTAGCGATCCTGCATGGTCAGCAAGCAAGTCCACCAGCGACTCCCAGGCACCTGAGTCTGTCCGTCTGTCCCTCCCTTCGTAGAGCTTCCTTCGCAGCCTCGGAAACCCCCTGGGGCTGTTCCACCCCGTCCCCACCTGGGGTCACCCAGAGACCCTAGGGCAGGGGGTAAATCTCAGCACCTCACCTCGCCCCCTGACCTCGCCTTGTCCCGCCCCCTGACCTCTCCTGGCCCGACCCCACTCCCTTGAGGGGGTAGTAACTGCTGCCCTCGCCCCAGGATGGCCTCCTCTCCTACTTCGGGACCCCCACGTGGCAGACGGTGACCATCTTCGTGGCCGGTGTGCTCACTGCCTCGCTCACTATCTGGAAGAAGCTGGGCTGAGACGCCCGAGGCCGCCTTGGACTGTGTCTTTTCTGCATAAATTATGACCTTTGGGGTGGGGTGGAGGACGGGTGGGATGTGGGCATTTTTCTTACTTTTTTAATTATTGGGGTGGGTGGGTGGGGCGGCCTGGGGGCGGGCAATAAACCTCCTTTAGGCCACATGTCTGAGTCTCTGGGGCTCCCTTGCTGTCCCCGCCCCCCCCCTCCTGCGGGAGCCCTTCCCTGGCTCTGGCTCACAGCCCCAGCGTACTCCATGCTCCGAGGGCCCAGAGAGAGGGCTCCCAGCTCTGCACTGACCCTCCATCCCATCTCTAGCCCCCTCCTTGGGCTTCTGGCCCTCTCTGTCTCTGGGTCTCTGTGCTTTCTCCCTGGATCTCTACCCACCCCAGGTCTCTGCCCATCCCTCTCTGGTTTTCTCTCTCTCTGTGGCTTTCTGTCTCCCTCTCTCTGAGGTTCCCCCTGCCCCCTAGATCTTGTTCCCCTCTCTCTGAGTCTCTTCTCTCACTGGGTCTCTGTCTCCCTCTCTCTGGGTCTCTGTCCCCA